GAAGGAAGGAAGGAAAGAAGGAAGGAAGGAAGGAAAGAAGGAAGGAAGGAAGGAAGGAAGGAAGGAAGGAAGGAAGGAAAGGACAGATCTCCATTTGCACATGGTTACCTGTGGTGCACTGCTGGAGTTTCCCATAAAAGAAAACACCAGGAAAAGAGCCAAGGTTGTTGCCACCAGACTTCTGAACCCCTACATGAAAAGATCAATCAAAGAAAGTCATTTCTGTGCCTATAGGATATTCTACTTCCTTCCTTGACGCCTGGACAATTACAAACTCCTTACTTTTTGCTCTTTTCTGTTTTAATGTTCAGTATTTGGGAGACAAGGGAGTTCCCCAGTTTACCATCTATTTAATCCACACAGAGTTCTTTTTTAAAAAAAAATTATTTAGAAATATATTATTTTCATTATTTAACCCAAATGGGGAATTAGGTGAATAAGTAAATTTATTTTTAGTAAAATCAAATGATTTTGATATTTCAAAGGCATATTGTTTAAATATCCTTTAGCCTCTAAAACACTTATTAAACATAAAGTAGGTAAAAAGCTATAAAATAACTAAAAAGTCTAGAATAAAACCTTGACTTACCTTCATGTTCTGCTCCTTTCCAGAACCTGCAACAACTATAACTTTACCTGTGACTTTTCTTATCTTGTTCTGAAAGTGGAGCTTTTAAAACCTTAGTGTCAAGGACCCCACCTGATCTTCTTCGGTAGAGTTAGGGAGTCCACAGGGACTTCTTGTCAATCTTCAAGACTGAGAGGATCTGATGACTCCTCCAGAGAGATTCAACTGCAGGAAGTAGAGGAATGATTGATGGGTGGACATTATTTGTTTAGATACTGACCACATCAGCTAGGAGATATTCTGAATATATCAGCATCATTGCCTTTGCTTTTCCCACTAGCTTCCCAAAGCACTTTATTATTATTATTATTATTATTAAAAATGATTAATAACCCCAGGCAGAATCAAAAGTAAATAAATAAAGAAAACTTGTCTTCGGTAACTAGCTATCAAGTTATCCCTGATGATAAACATGAATCATTTGGGTGGAGATGAAAAGGTTAGGTAATCTCAGTGGAATTTGACATCAGTCATTTACTTAATTATTCATTCAATTATTTAACAAATATTTATTGAATGCCTACTATGTATCAGACATTCCTCCTTTTAGTTAAAGGGACACAGCCATGTATTATAAAGACTCGGTCTCTGCTTTATCAAACTTATCTTCTAGTCAGGGCAGAAACACTCTAAACTGGTAAATGAGGTAATTACAGAATGTTTTAAATGTTTTATAAAGTCAATGTAAGCAAGATGATGTGAGAAAGTAAGTAGTGGGCTACTTTAGGGAAGGTGAAATTCGAAAGTGGTCTGATAAGGTGGAATCAGACGTGGGATAAGCCAGAGTGGGAATTAGTATTCCAGGCATTCCAGGCAGCAGGAAGAAAAGCAAAATCTTGGGGATGGCAAAGAGCTTGGCTTTTTTGAGGAATAGGAAGGAGACCCATGGACCCAAAGTTGCGTGGATGACAAGAGAGAATGCTGTGAGTTGAGGTTGGAAGGGAAGAAATGGGACAGTTCATGTGGGAACATGGTTATAAGCAAAAGATGATGATGGCTTAGACTAGGGTGGTACTTGCTGGGAATGGAGAGCTGTAAATGAATTTGGAATGCATGTTGGAGGTATAAAATATAGGACTTGTGGATAAATGGGATATGAGAGTGTGAGAAAAATAAATCAAAGATGATTCTTAGATTTTTGGCTTAAACACTGAGTGAATGATGAAGCCATTTACTGAAATTGGAGAAACTTCATAAGGAGCCAATTAGGAGAGGGATAATAAGAGTTGTCTTTTGGACATATTAAAATTAAAATGTATATTAGACATCCAAGTAGAAGTGCAAAGTAGGCAGCTGTCGATGCAAAACTCTATTGAGTTCAGCAAAAGGGTCGCCAGCCTACAGATATTTTTCTAAAGGCAGAAATTATCAGATTTAAGAATTTTAAGGCAGGAAAAAGATTGGGATTGAAAGAGAATACTTAGGAAGTGAATGGAATTAAAGTAGAGAGGCAGGGACAGAGCTATGAGAACAAACATACAGAGCAGGAGGAGAGGCAGAGCCAGCAAAGGAAGTTGAGGTGAACCAATCGGAAAGAAAGGAGACATTCCAGGAGACCATGAGGCCATGGAAGCCAGGAGAATATTCAATAATGTTGAAGCTCAAGCTAGATGAGTGCAAAGAACTGTGAACTGAATTTGAGAATATGATGGTTTTGGAGGACAAAAGCAAGATCAAAGTGGGCTAAGGGTGAATAGGATATAAGGAAATAAAGACAAGTGTGGACAATCTTTTTCAGAAATTTCACTAAAAGGTGAAAGGAAAAATGAATTTTTTTAAACAATAAGATACTTGAGTGTTGTGGAAGTGTGTTATTCTTTTTGGCCTTCCAGTAACATCTGAACCCTTTTATTTTTAAGGAATTCCTAAAATTCCCTGAATTATGAATTATGGAATTATGAGTCTTGGTGGGAGGCAGAGTTTTCCTTCTTTTGTACAAGCTGAAAGTGCCAGATACTCACTTTCCCAGACTCCCTATCAGGTAGGGTGTGGGCGCATGACTCAGGCTTCACCCTTCAGATGTACCCACTCGGAGGGGGAATCCGGAACCAGGATGGAAATAAGTGAGGATCTGGTGAAATGCTTTCCGGTGCGGCCGTGGTGGTGGTAAGCTTGAGTCTGTGGGGGCCATCCTGGCCACAATACTAGTGGCAGCTTCCAGCATTCAGTGCTAGAGGGGATGGGGACACCACCAGCAGTGTGCTTTTAATAAAGTCTTCTTTTGCTTAAATCGGTCAGGTTTGTTGGTTTCCCTTGATGACGACTAGGAAACCATTTGCAGGACATGTGTGCTGGTGGGGATGATCAGTAGAGCAGGAGAAACTGATGAGGCAGAAGAGAAGAAAACTGCAAAAGAGAATTCATAGAAGGCAAGAGGGATAGGATCCAAAATATGTCAATATTCGGTTGAAACAGTTATATGCATAGGCAGATATCGAACAAGAACCTGAGTAGCCACCATATGCTAAGGTTCCATGGGTAAGAGAGATGGTCTCTTTCTTCTAAAAGTTAGAGCAGTACTCCTCAGGTATTAATGTGCATGTGGATCACCTGGGAATCTTGTTAAAATGCAGATTCTGGTTCAGCACAGCTGGGGTGGGGCCTGAGATTCTGCATTTCTAATAAGCTCCCAGGAGATGCTGATGGACGCTACTCTACTGATCCCTGAACATTTTGAGTAGTTAAGCTTTAGAGGGTGTAAGTGACAAAAACTAAACCTTAGAGTCTGCGTCACTGGGAGAATGGCTAGCAATAGAAATACCAGGGAGTATGGAGAGAGAACAGGTAAGTCTGGTTTGGGATTGAAGTTTGAGGGGCTGATGCTGTCTACCTGCAAATACTTGTATAAGAGAGATTGAGTTTTGGGTACTTGATATTTAGGCTTGACAGTCACGTGCAGACAAGAAAACTGGTCTGGTTAGCAAATGAGAATAGAATATAGAAAGTAGTTTATGGGTAGAAACTTGAGGAATATTTACTCCTTTTCAAGAATAAGTAAAGCAAGAAGGAGCCAGAACCATTAATGTAGTGTTTTCCACTGTCTTAGGAGGGGAGAAAGATAAAAACTAAGGACTAAAAGTGTAACACCAAAACTGGACAACATTTGAATATTCCTTTAAATATTAGATTTTAGGGGTTAATTTCAAGGGATTGCAGCAACTTTCAAAAGAGAGCAATAAAGGAAATAAAATTATGTGTGTGTTTATGTTTTAAATGAACTCATAAGTGACATCCAATTACTAGGTTATCTAACAAACAAGTAAAATGCCTTTTTCCATTCTCCATACCAAAAACACAGAAAGGTTTTAGAAAGAGGGACAGGAAAATGAATTGCCAGTAAAACCATGTTTTGAATTTACAATTTTAAGGAAAAATAAATGAATGTGGTTTGTTTATAACAGTTTAGCTAATGAATTCACCAGCAGATATTTTACGTCAAAGCTGCCATTTTCAGTATAAGATGCACAAGTGAAGAGAGTGGTTTTGACATATCATCAATATTGTAGTCTTATCAAAAGTAACATGCCAGAATTTGTTTGTTCTAAAAGGGCATTGACTGTCAATAAAATGTTTTTGTTAAATCACAAAATTTTAAGATTTTTACAGGTCTAAGCCTAGAGATGGACTAAGAAGTTATTTGATTAAAAACAGATGATGGATTGAACCATTGAATTTTATTCTGCTGACATTATGGTCCGGCAGTGGGCGTTGAACAAATTGGATCCTAAACCCTTTTTAAAGGCATATTCAGTGGAGACCATTTTGCCTGCATCACTGATCATTATCCAAATAGCTGACTGGATGGTGCCCAGGCCCATTTAAACAATAATAACTGTCACTGATTAAACTGCATTTTTGTGAGGTCAGTGATTATTGTATTCGCATAGAAAATAGCTCCTATCTTGAGTAAGGTTACCTGGACAATATGGCTATTATGATACTAAAATATCCAAATTACTTCTTTGATGATAAAGTAGAGGATTTTAGTATAGTATGAATGAGGGCATGGGGTTCAATCTCCTACTGTGCCAGGGCCAGTCTGCCCCATAGCCAGTTGTCTCACAAACAAATGGAAGAAGTAATTTCCCCAAAGGGCTACCAGTTTTAGGAAGGGCTTTAGGGGCACCAAGAAGGCCTGCTACCCAAAATGAAACTCTCCATTCGTTGGCCAATGGCTTTACCATCTTCCTTTTACTTGGGGCTTTGAACCTCAAGAATCTCTTTTTCATAGCTGAATAAATACAAACAAGTGAAAAGTTCTTTGAGAGGACAAAGAAGGACCAACTGTTTTGGCCTAGTGGGTCAAGAAAGATCCGACAGAGGTGACCTTTTAATTAGGTCTTGAGAGCCGGCACAGGTAAGGTCGTGAAAAAGTGTGTCAGTCAGTGAAGGATTTGGGGCATGCTACTTCTGTGTCCAACTTCCTACATGGATACAGGGAGCAGAAGGGCAGAGGTTGGAACCTTTCAGCCCAGAGGACAAGGTTAGAAAGATAGGCTGGATATTTAATAACAGATTCAAGAATTCCAGTTCACCAGACAAACCAAGACTTGTAGTTTACTTATTGGATTCAACAAATATTTATTGGGTACCTTAAGTGGTACACTCGGCCAGTGGTTTTTTGGCCTTACCAAAATTTGT